GCACGCCACGGCGGCACGGCACACACGCGCACGTACTGAGGCACACACCTGCGGCGGCGTACAAGCACACACGCGCCGCGTACGAGCACGCACACGCACCGGGCACACACGGCACGTACGAGCACACACACGCGCGCGTACAGCCACAAAACGCGCATGACGTACGAAGACACCACGCGCCGGCGCTACAAGCTACACATCGCGCACGCACCGCGGCACACAACGCGCGGCGTACAAGCACACACGCGCACGGCACGGGCACACACGCGCACGTAAGAGCACACACGTGCCGCGGTACGAGCACACACCTACGGCCGCGCGTACAAAAACACACGCGCACGTTACGAAGCACACACGCGCGCGTACAAGCCACCGCCACGCGCACGGCACACACGCGCCGTCGAGCCACACACGCGCGCGTTACAAGCACCACCACAGGCGCGCGTACGAGCACGCACACGCACGGGCACACACGCGCCACGGTACGAGCACACACACGCGCGCGTAACAAGCCACACACGGCTGCGCGTTACGAGCACAACACGCGCGCGTACAAGCACAACACGCGCACGCACGGGCACACAACGCGCACGGTACCGCAGCACACACGTGCGCGTGACGAGCACACACACGCGCGCGTACAAAAACAACCGCGCGCGTACGAGCACACACCGCGCGCGTTACGCCAGCACACACGCAGCGCGTACTTGAGCCGCACACCGGCCACGTACGGAGCACACCGCGCGCTGCGTACGAGCAGCACACACGCACGCTACGAGCACAACGCGCGCGGCGTACGAAGGCACCAACACCGGGCGCTCGTTTCAAGCACATGCCAATCCCACGCGCGCCGTACCGAGCACGCACACGCACGGGCCACACACGCGCACGTACGAGCACACACGCGGCTACGAGCACACACGCGCGGCGTAACGCGAACACACACGCGCGCGTACGAGCACGCCGCACGCACGCGGCACATACAGGGCGCAAGCGTACGAGCACACAACGCGCGCGTACGAGCACACGCGCGCTGTACGACGCACACGCGCGCCGTACGAGACACACCCGCGCGCGTACGCAGCAACCACACGGCGCGCAGGTACGAGCACCCACGTTCGGCCGCAGCGTACGGAGCACACCACGCACGCGTGTATAAACCGCACTGCGTTATTATCGACACAAAATATGTATAAATAATATATTATACAGTAAAATATACCTTGTTACTTTAAATTGTAATACACACACACGCACGCACGTACGCAGCACGGCACATATGTACTATATATATATAATATATATATATATATATATATATATATATAATGTATACATATATATCAACTACGCCACGCATTTTAGCAACAAGTCATAGTATAATATATATATATATATATCAAGAGTCTATAATAGAGAGATCTCTATTATGGACTCTTGATATATATACGAACATAAATATCAATCGAATTATGCAACTTACGTCGGAGAGTTCTAATGCTTCAAACGTATTCTGAATCAATGAATCCTTACCAGGCATAGATAGCTGAACATCAGCGAGTCTCCCTTCAGAAGAAATGTACTACGGATAGGCTTGTTTCCGCGCGCCCATGTGTGCAGTCCACACTCACGCAGACAGCGCACCGATATGCAGCAATCGTCGCCGCTGCTTCAGATAACTAGGTCAACGTGTTGCGAAAAACGTCGTCGCTTGCGAGCAGTTGTCTCTCCCGCGCACGGCATTCTGTATATAGAACTGCGGATATGATTAAAAGCAGCTTCCGAGCTTTACGTCTGCGAGTAAACTAGCGAAGCGCTACTCACGGCTTCTGCTTATAGGCGCGCGCGTACACAGCGTCGCGTAGTGTCGCAAACGAGAACTACACACACGGGCAATTACCGGGCTCTAACTGCTACTATTATCGCCAGGCGGCTTCACGGTACACTACAATTACGTACCGCAACCATCAATGTTTCATACTGCTCAGGCCCTTCACGGTGAGTCATCGGTAGGTGTTGTACGGCTACGGGGCTACATCAGCTGAAAGTATTTATGGTCATGCTGCAGAAATTACGAGTATCAATATACGCACACGGCGTGGAGCAATATGACGTCGGAGAGAGAGAAAATGCCCCCTATATATTACCGTCAACAATCCCCGACGACTTTAAACGTAATTAACGACCATCTTAAAACGATGCTCGGCGCCGTACTAGCACGGGTTGTAAAGTAATATAAGGCAGATGGCTTCCGCTGATAAGCAGCTTCTTCATCCACGGAGTCCAAGCTACGCAAATAATCAACTGTGCAGAGAGAGATAGATAGAGAGAGAGAGAGAGAGAGAGAGAGAGAGAGAGAGAGAGAGAGAGAGAGGAAGAGAAAGAGAGAGAGAGAGAGAGAGAGAGAGAGAGAGAGAGAGAGAGAGAGAGAGAGAGAGAGCGCGCTAGCGTGCCTACGATCCGTGTTCGCATCGTATGGGCGCTTGCTTCTTACAATATGGCTTAGCGTGAGCTTTAGCAGTTTTCCCGCAATCTCGTGTGGATTTCAACAGCCAGTATTTGTATTTGCTGTGTTCGCGAACTAGGTCAGGATATCGTGACCTCGAGTGTCAAACCGAAATCGATCCGTTGGAGAGTAATATATCGGATTTCTAGCGTATCTTCAACCATTCATTAGCGAAGGGCTGTTATAGATCACCTCTCATGCCACTCCACGACGAAAGCTGTTGGCGTTTACTTAGCATCCCACGTCTCCACGTAGGCTCTTAATAAAAATTAATGGGAAGGGAACCCCGAGCGACCGCATGCTATCTGCATGCAGTCGCGACCAGAAACGCGTCGTATAATAATTTACAGGTGGTCGTTAGACACGACGAGTAATATATAACGGGAGGGGTTCACGTTGCAGCTTCCCACAGTATATATTTACAATCGATTGCTCAACGTTACAATTGTGTGCGTAGGTGCCACAAATATTCGACGAAATAGTGTTACAAAATCTTGCCATAAATTATATTTCATTTGGCCCGCACCTTTGATGTGGCAGCCACTACTTCTCATGTAGCCTACACGTCGCGATTTCGCCTTCTAGTATATTAAAATTAATAACTGAGCAGTTCGTAGGTCCGGCTGTTCGATTTTCATGACTCGGAACCTCACGGGACCACCAATGGCTTGCGTTTAGTCACGAACCAAATTTTAAATATTCAAACGTGATTGGGCCTCACGTAAAAAGCAACCCAGGAACATTAACTATTCAGGAAAAATAAAAACCTGGGATTGCTCTCCCATCCCATCCGCAATTTACACGACTATATCATCAATATTCGATGTGTTTGTGCGTCACCATCTTATTGTAACTGTCGCATGAGACTCGTTACCTAGCAACAAATGTAGCGATTATGTAATGTCATGTTTGTAAAACAATATATATAGCTGTATATTTATATGTAGCTTTTGCGCGATCATGCGTCCCCGTTTCCTTGTCGTTCACGCGTGCTCTACACACACTTCCCTTTTTATTATTGCGTGCACAACGGTTGCAAGTTTGCAGGTTGGGTAAATGAAATTGATACGTCCACCTGTCCATCAGCGTCATTGTGATATAGACTTTCCCAAATTTTCGAAGGGAAGACCCGCATACCCCCCCCCCGCCTGTTTCTTACAACCCTCCTCGAAATACTGCATTGGCCACTGTCGAGCGTAACGAATTGAGCACCCCCACTTCAAAAATCGTTCCGCGGCGCCTGTAGAGTACTGCTAACAAAGATTATGATTATGAATATTTAAGAAGAATTGAGTTAAATAAGAATTTGAATAAGAATATGAGTTCATCTGACAGGGGCGTAGATAGCACGGGGATGGGGGTATATCCCCCCAACACTTATTGAGGTGGGGTGGCTTTCACCCCCTACTTTCAGGAAGAAAATGGGGAAAAATTTAATATTTTACAAACAATAAATACTGGATATTTATCTACAAATCCGTCATCGCTATTCATACTCTCCTAATGTATTATTACAGAAATGGAACGTGACATAGGCCTACATCTACTGTAAAATGGCTGAAACTCGTTCCAAGAATGACATTATTTTACTGAAACTCAGACGGTTAATTTTGGACGCATTCCCCATGATTATTTTTCTCAAAATCCCCAAAGTCTTATCACTGCTCACGAAAGTCAAATCTTTGCTTTATACAAAATTAGATTAGACCTATTGAGTCGGGATATTGAATTTTCACGGGGATTGAATGGGGGGGGGGTGCTGAAACCCGACCGGAAGTATATTCCCGATTTTGTATAAGGGGTGAAAATATGCACGTTCTGAGTAAAATATATGTTTTATCAAAATTTCAGGAGGAGACGATTCCAGTGCTGTAGTTGTCAACGGGGGGTCAGTAGCACGGGGCGGTCGCCCCCCCCCCCTATAATTTTCAGGGCAAATGTATTTTAGCCTAGGTAAGTCTGCACTGGTAACCCCAGTGAGGACATGTACATAGATCAGATTTGGTAGTAAGTATTTCAGTCTTTGGTGTCCCCAAAGGTAAAAATACTCAACTGAACAGTGATGTTATTGGGATGAAGATTGTTTAATAGTGCTGCCTCATAGTGCAGGAAATTGCATCGAAGAGGTGTTACTTTCAACAAAATCCCCCCCCCCAACACACCCAAACAGGAACGCACCCAAACACGCCCTGAAGGAGCAAAAATCCTGATATTCTATAAAGATGTCCAAAATTGATTGCTTTTAGATTGCAACTTTTTAACAATTCCACAGTGGGAGGGGGACACCCCCTCCAACACCCCCACCCCAGGCGCTTCGTGCCCTTCAGCTCGCATGATTCGCCCCCCCCCTGGTTGTGTGTGTGTGGGGGGGGGGTGCGTGTTATTAAACCTCTGGAATCCAAAGAAAAATTACCCTAGAATTCACAAAGTTGCACTTACAATATCAATTTTCTTCAATTCCCTCAAAAACGGCCATCTTTAAGGTTCGAAATTGCTAAAATCCAAGAACTTCCGGGGGCTCCGCCCCCTGGACCCCGGGCAAGGGCTCTGCCCCTGCACCCTCCCAGGGGCCCTAGGGCGGGCACCTAGACCCCACCCATTAAGGGTTTTGCGCCAAGGAGCTTGCGGTGTGCGCTCATCGCGCACACTCTTCATATACATTGCGATGGAAGTAACAGCGAAATCATCCCCCCCACAACTGAGGACCTGTCTACGCCACTGGCCTATTCCATTAGCGGTCATATCAAATCATTGACAACTACGTAAACAGAAATGTACTATATATGGAGTCGTAAGATAAATACAGCCTCTCCTGAGTAATTACTCATTATGGACTAATGAAACAATAGAGAAATAATTATGAAGCCGCCTTTTGAATGTAGTTATGAAATTATAATTATGGTATGTAGAAAAAGAAATCTTAGTGAAATCTTACCAAATCTCGAACGCTACGTGTCATGCTTATCAAAGCCTGAAACCACAGTATATATACCACTATAGTCACTAAGTGTAATGATTGGTAAACAATACCCCATTGAACCACTTGTAGACATAACATGATGTAGTACAACGGTACACTGAAACGCGTAAATTGTTTGAGTTCATAATGGAAAGCATACACCAGAATAAATAACGTCATTAAACAATTATACTCGCCTATCGCAAACGGAAATATGTCATGTTTGATGACTCCAATGACATCATTACAGAATTAAACATAGTTGAGATACAAGGTTATGCAGGATGAAACATGATTAAAAAGTATAAAATGCAAAAAATTCACTTTTTATATATAACATAATACACTTATAACATAATACACATATAACTGTATGAACAAACAAATTTTGGCACAATGTGATTTTAATCTTTTACTAACACAGGTTTGCAATCAATCACATCTGCAGCTCTTACGGGAAGTCCAGTTTCAGTCGGTAGCCATACCTAGCCAACACCGTCTGTTGGACGCTCTCCACAGTTTGATGCAGAGCCAGCCTCCATGCATCCGCTTGCTGCACCTTAACCAATCTGAAACGAACGACAATAGCGCATACGCGTGTACAATAGCTATATAGCCGCTTTACAGAAATATTACCTCTACATGTTTACGGTTGCCGAAAGACTGCTACTCATACCGTTCGTCACAAATGCGCTTAATATTAGACTACATATCAAAACAGGTAAGAAATTCCAGACTATTTAGGCATGGAAAATTTCTAATAGAATGTTTTATCTCTGTGATATCATGATATATTGCATACATATTGTAAAACGCGTTTAGTAAATATTTATTTCAATTCTATTACACAACAAGTGCCGCGGAGCGACAGCGCTCATCTAACGTCTACTGCGGTGACTCTGTGGTGGAGTGGTGGGATTCTAGTAAACCCTGTTAGTCCCAAATGTGTTCACATACACGCCGAAACAGTGGAAAGCATGGTATCAGGAACCTTCTCAAAGGAATGTTCATTGGGATCGTTATGATTGAGAAGGTTGTGCGACGAGATGTGCCGCACGTTTAAGTGTCTTAAGGATTATAGATGAAGCTCCATCGGTCTAGCGTAGTAGCAACAACTTATTTGCAAGGATAGAACAGGGTAAGCACTCATCAATTTACCTATCGCAAGCACTAACGCCTACTATACAGCCACTAACAGCCTAAAAGTAGAGAGCCTGCACTGTAAGGAATAATGCCAGGCCAAAAACTACACAGTACTATCACCACACATGCGACTGGCATTGGCCACTGGCCAGCTGGCATAAGTTACATGTAACAAACTAACAGTACAGAATGCCATAAAATTATTACAAGTTAAGAGCATAAAAACCTTCTTCAACAAATTACTAGCAAATTATGATAACTAATAGCAAAACTAGCCAAACTATAGCAACTATTATCTACGTAGCAAACCGGCCAGTCAAATTTTCTAAGCAGTAAACAAAATCCATAGATTAACCCCTCCTGTGAGGGTCAAAAAGTGTATCGACACTTAACTCTTTTCGCATGTCAGACAGAAGAGTACATTCAGCGTCCTTTCAATAAAGCCATCCAAGATTCTAGGGTCCGCTGAAACAAAAAAGTTTTCAATCGCTCCGTCAGACCATGTCCTCAGAAATGTCTAAATCTGCCCCTGTGCGCCTTGACCTTTGACCTGTGACCTCCAATTTCGCCACAGTGATGGCTTTTCCTACCATGTGCTATACACGACTATCACGAGCGTTTAGATTTGAGGCCGCAATTCTGCATTTCCTACCCTATACTTAAGTCTCGACGGAGAGGATGCTCCCTTCTTTTAACCTCTTGACCTGCCTTTGGACCCCCAGCTTCGACATCCCAAACTCGTTTTGACGATCCCCGACGTCCCAAACTATCGTAACCGTACGTCAGCTGGTAGATTTGTGCCCAACTGTTGACGAACGCACGCACGGACGCACGGACAGACGCACGATCATGCGATTCTACAAGCTGCACCTGACTACATCAGATGAGCTAAAAATTATTGTTCAGAGGACATTACTGAGCATTAGCTTTGTACACAGAATACGTATGGACAACGTACACTATAACAAGACACTTTACCGGCTTACCTGTAGAAATACTTTAGCATTTTATCTGCCATCTCTAAATTCATATGTCCAACAAGTTCTTCCAGGTACGTAATGAACATCTCGATATCCTCATTCACTGGTTCTTAAAACACAAAGGATATTATTTTGTAATATTATTACGTTTTTTTTCTATTTGAGAATTAATATTTTGTGTGAGCTGTAATTGTTGACTTAGTTTCAATGACAAGTATCTGTGCAACCAGGTTGAACCTGCATGGTGTGTCTAAACAGTTATAATACCATAATATAATCGTAATATGGAGTATAGGTGTAATACCACACTAGATATTATCAGATATTATTGTGATCACCTCTATCACAATTTGAATCTCATCCTTAGCCTAGTACCTGCTGTACTATCTGTCCACTCCTTTATTAAAGAACGCACTTCTTCCCGACCAGTAGCACCGCACAGGGATGGAATTGGTAATAAAGCAGAATTTTTCTCCTCGACCCTGCCTCTTTCATTGTTGTTACTAGATGGAATTCCCACGCTAGCCTCCGGGTGTTTTTCTTCACTCTTCACAGCCTGTGCAGGTTGCTGTATCTGCAGGCACATAGACAGGTTACAGCTATGCCAGAATAAGGTGTTAGGTCATTTAAAATGTATTCCTACTTACAGTATATACTTACAGTGTTTATCATAGCACTGAGTGTCAATTGACCTTTCTGCATCTTGTGCTTTTTGGGGCTGGCTCCCGACTTTGTTTTCCGGGGGCTCGACTTCTTTCCTTGTACTGGCCTTCTAGTCACTTTGCTTGTCTCATTTTTGGCAGACGAATGGACAACCTGTCAAATTTTTCTGTTACTTCTCCATTGCTTGTTACGATTTAAAGGTGTAAAACGTAAAATCGTTTGCACCATAAATCTAACACATATCGAATATTATTATCTAGAATTTCCTAACTTTAGAGGAATCCAACTTTTTAAATCCTAGACATTTACAATTCAACCAACAACAAGTTACTTACCATGAGTCCTCCCTTGGTTAAATATATATACTTGTCAGGTATGAGTAGTACTTTGGAAAATGCATAAAAACTATGGAAGATCATCAACAGTATCTTACCTTCTCAGTGCAAGCTGCCATTACTTCCTTTCTCAAATCTTCAGGAAGTGCATCCATGAAGCTTTGATCAATCTGTAGTAGACAAAAAAACAGTTGACATAAGAGAAATTTATTCGTATATATTCTCACAACATGACCATGAAGCTAGTGCTTTCGCCGTGAAGCTAGCAACATGAGTACCCACGTATATTGGTTCAATTCTCTTACATTCAGTCATTTAAAGTAATTGCTGGCAGAAAAGTAAAATTTAATAAAGGTATGTCATTTTTCACTTACCATGGAAGGATAATGGCTATCAGAATTAAACTTAATAAAACTGGAAAATTAATCAAAAATATATTTAAGCTACCTGTGATAGATTAGGAAGTTCAGTAGTAACCTCAGTTCTTGTTGTTGGCTTTTGATCACATTTGGCATGTGTTTCAGCATGGACGGAAATGCCAGCTGATGGCACTTTCTGAAGCAGTTCTGACGACTCAATCTCTATTTAAAAAAACAGTAATATATAGTAAAAAAACGGTTCATACCACATAGTAAAGTAAAAGAACAAAATTCTCAGACAGAAAGGCAAAAATGCTAGTCAGTGTAGCATGAGTCAAATTGATTCATTTATGAAGATAAGATATGAGACATTCAAAAACTATATATCATAAAAATAAGGATTTATGAAAAAATTGAGTAAACCTTTGTGATGACTCAGTAATAACGTACACAAAAAGCCTATTAGCACAGAATGACAGATCACTCTTTGTTAATTTATCTCCTTCAGCATGTAGATTTAGCAATTATGTTGGAGTTGATCATATCATGTGTGAGGAAGAGAAAGAGCCTACTGAGTTACATTACATGATACAGGCTGGTAGCTTGGAAATACAGAACCTTGTAGATCCTTCCGTCGCTGTGCTTGCTGCATTTCTTTCTCGACTTCTTCCCTGATCTCTGCAGGCAATTCAGCAAGCACTGATGAATCAACCTGCAAAACACAGAATTATATATATTTTATATCATAATATAATATAATATAATATAATATAAAATAATATAGTATATCAGATATCCTTACAGATCTTTAGCTAGCACCAATATGCCCTTAATTTTCAACTATGTAAAATTATATAGAAGCCTAGCTCCTTTAAGAAATATGAAATTGCTGCACACATAATATAATAAAAACTGATATTTGTACTTCCATGCTATGTCATACGAATGACAAGCCATACCTGGGATACTGACAACATTTGATAAGCTGGTAGTGTGGTACTACAGTTCCTCTCAGAAGAAGTGGGCTGCATGGACACACTGGATGAAGTTTCTGGTACTTGAGCACTGGTACTGGCTATGGCTTTCTTCATAAAGTTCAGTATAGAGTTTGCAGGGCAAGCTGCCTTTGTACTTGGCTCCAGTCTATGCACCTGAATACCCATCTGAATAGAGACATGCAGTCAATATTTACCAAGAAATCCAATTCTCAAAACAGTCAATGCTAGAATGCCGAGTACTACTTTTTTGATAACTAAATGTGGTTATGTGCATTAACCATTGCATTGTTCCTTGTTATTGTTATTGTTATTGTCATTGTGCATTGTTCCTTACATACATTATATTACAACAACAATATGATACAAAAAGTTGCAATTAGAGCACATGACTCACCCCTCTGACATCAGATGGAACGACCTTCATTGTCTTTAACAAGTTAAGGGACTCCTTCCTGATAATATCAATGCTATCTGTTGCTACGGGAAGTGTAACCGACTTTGCAAAGTTGTCACAAACACCGTGGCCCATAAATTTAGCAGACACAACTGGAGCATCTGCTTTTCTTCCCTACAAGAATAATTAAGTAGCTGTCATAAAAGATGGTTAACTATGTAAAACTTTAAATTGAAACCATGCATGCTACACCATACCATACCAAAATCATGCCAAATGGTCAACCCATGACTATGTTTTAATTAATAAAGATATTTCTACACAGCCATCTGGACATATTAATGTGTTTATGAAGAACTACACATAATAAAATGAAAGTCAAATTAAATTAATTAGGCAAACCTTGAGTTTTAACGTGATGGACTTTCCCTTAGACTGCACTTCCTTTAGCCTCTTGCACACCTCAACTGCCAACTCTGCAAGAAACTTGTCCACTTCTTCTTGCTGTAAAAACAAGTTAGTACCATCAGAAGAAAATAGGCGCAATCACAAATGCCAAAGAAAATAGATGTCTAATGAAGTTCGCTCACGTTAACCCATTTACAGTTTTTAACAAATGTTTAGGTGACTAAAATTATTAGAAAAGTTTAATTCAGAAGCACAAGTGAGCAGGAAGCAGCGATCCCTGTACATTCTAAATACTTCTCATCGGTTGACTACATAATGACATCGCAAGTGGATACGACTTTTGCTTTGCACATGCTCAGATACATTCCATACAAGCTTACTGCTGTAAATCTCATTCCGTAGTTGATTTCTGCTGACACCGACTTCCGGTCCTTGTCCGTCCTGATTTCGCGACTATCCTCACCACGGCAAAACTGGTACAGATTCCTGCCAGACTTTGGTCCACACTCCTTCTGCAGCATGCCAAGAGAAAGCTGCTGCAGCTCACCACAGGTTTCAGCTCCGAGTGCCTTAAGGCGGCAACCCAACTTCCAACCGACACCTGCAGTAAACAAGATTGCACGTTACAATGCTAACGCGTATGAAATTAATATCAAACACGTGCATGAAGATTGTGGAATAAGCATCACAGCTCATCTTGCCAGCACAAAGTTGTGATTATGATTAATGTGTAGAAAATAAAACTATGTATCCGGTAGAGTTGTACGTATTATATGACCCCAACTCTGTTGCCATTACTGACCAAAAGCAATCACTATCACGAAATGTGAGGCAGTGGAAACACCGACCATGTAACATGCAAATAGGTAAAAAGTGAGCACAATAAGTTTACACGCCTGGAAGATCTTTCAATGCTTGCCCATGGATGAAGGCAGGCACTTCATCTGGCTTTACCCAATGTTGTCCATTCGGCTTTGCGAGGCGAGTAGCCAGTCTGGCAATGAGGATGCTGGGTCCAAGTCCAGCCGATGCCCTACAGCCTGTCTGCTCCGCAATCTCATCACGCATCACCTGCGCATCACCAGAGAGAACTTTTGTATATAAAAAATTAATTATCGAGTATTATAATTGACAGTGAAGATATTGAAAGACGAGTAGTACTGTAAGTTTGGAAATTTTGTTCGGAATAATTCTACATGTAAAATTCAACAGTCAATCACTATATCCTTCAGAAAACTTTCAGTAACCCACTTATGCTCTAATTTCCTTCTTGTAAGTTACTACTGACAATATACTAGTAAGATATGAAGTTAGAATGCCACTGCAACACCAGTGCCCTTCTGTTTAGTTACACAATCTTATAAACAATGCTGGTGATAAACATGTTTATCCAACAAAATGTACTTATAATAGTTATATGTAATGTATCAATACAAAATTAAACGTTTAAGTATGAAGTGTGCACAGCTTTGTTTCTAAAGTATTTTTGTCATCTTCCATCTCCGATAAATAGCATACTCGATCAACTGCCTTTCATACCTGAGCTATGTCCAGTGGACTGATGCCAACGTCTTTCGACAGCTTGCTAAGGTCAACAAACAGCTCATCACAACTCATTGCTTCTATGTCATGTGTGAAACTGAAAATAAAACCTCTATATTATATAGCCTGTAGACTCCTCCGTTTTCTACCAAGTACAGAAGTAACAGCAGATTAGAGATTACTATATTCAGGACACAATACGAAAAACCGTTTACAAGGATCAATTTGAATAATCAAATCACTACAAATAATTTTGCAATAAATATGTGTCATTACAATAAGATACGCACAGGTGTCTGTAATGAGCATTCTTACCTGGCAACTATGTTGTAGAGACTTTTGGACACCATGCTGTACCTCTCAAAGTTGTAGGGAATAGTCTGCAGGTTCGGACATAGTCTCCTAGCCTCTCCCATGAACATGCCATTACGCACACCGAGCTTTCTTGCCTCATAGCTGCATGATGCAATCTCAGCTCTTGAGTAAAAATCTTGTTCACCTGCTGCTGCACAGACACATGCAGTGCATTGGACAGACACACACAGAGAAATTCCAGCATTAAATGTATGTAAACAGCTTCGTGCAACAAGCCCACAAAAGATTCACACTTGCAAAAATATGCAAAATGAATTCATGACATTCGTAACTCAACTATGTCAAAGTGAAACAAAGGCTAGCCGACCTTGAACGCACGAACTTGCTGAAATTCCACTGTCTTCTTAACTGCTACTAACGATATTACATCGACGACCTATTACGTTAATGAACCAGTGAACAGATACACTTACCTACACTACTGCTAGTGCATGCATTCTCAGCAGCTCTCTCCCTGCTGCCATACTGCTGTCCAGTGCATTTCTGCTCCCAGTACTTCCTCTCGTAGTCAGGATTCGCTCCGGTTTCACAACGGGATGGCGCCGGATGACCCTTTGAGTGAGTAACAGCTACCGGTTGCCCTACCAGCTCTGGCCGGTCGAGCAGGCCGACCGACACGAAGAAACAGTCCATGTCGATGTGCATGATCACCTTGCCCGGGTCATCGTGTGACGCTAGCCGACCGCAAAGCTTGAGCTCCTGCAACTTCTTTGCACCTCTAAACTCGCCACGGCCGGCGCTCCGAAGCTCTGTCACGTATCGGCGGAACTCTGTGCCCCACGTCGATATGTGGTGCAGCCGCGAATGCGTGTAGTACTCGGACACAAAGTTCGCATCGCCCGCCTTGGCGGTCGGCTTCTTTTTCGGGCTATCAGGGTTCTGCACCTCGATGGTGCGCCGTTTAACTGCGATGACATTAGGTTCTTCTTCTGATGATCTCTCACCACCCCAATCTGCATGATCGTCTTCTTTGCTATTTGGCGATGGTGAAATGTCGTACGACTCTTCCGAATCGACCGCATCGTGAACTTGGCCATCGTTGGAGGTGGCAGGCTCTGTACAGTCCTGCACTTTGGCTGGCTTAGAATCACTACCTTTTTCGTCGTCCCCGGTTTCACGGCTTAACTTTTCAGCAATGCATTTTTCTTTGGTTTCACCTCCAGTTGATATCATCTGCTGAAAGCCTAATGTGCCTTGTGATCCAGAAGGTGCTGCATACAACTGGTATGGGGTACATGATAGTAATCTGCCTGCCTCAATGCTGAAAAGGGATATATATAGCAGTAAAAAGATTTAAATGCTAGGCAGTAAAGATATAATAAAATTATACATATATATAGATATATATATATATTACCCAAGAAAGATAGACAAGAATATGTGTATATGTACCTCAGGCAATTCCATGAGTAAGAAAGTGGGTGTATGCAACTATCAGCAACTCTCATACGTGGTAAAAAAATTACACCGCAAAAACTACATGGTTGATAGACACAGCAAAGTGTGTATTGAATCGTATAGCAATTTTGATTTCAATGAACTTTACAGGGGCGTAATTTTATTGTTTTTATTACCTATCTAGGATCCATTGTGGTCTCACAATTTTCTTGTTACCTACTTGCCGGATTTTACTGTCAGCAAGGTTAGATGCAATGGTGTGGGTCACCTGGGCTACACTATAGTAGTACTGGAACCTGCCTCCATGAAGCTGCATCAACCTACGTAACTCGTCAGAAGATGGTTCTTAGAAAAAATGTAAAATAAAGAAAATTAATGCAGTGGAAGAACAGAAAGCTGTAAAGGCATGATGGTCGTGTACAAAAGCCATTTTATGATGGTGATCGAATGATTACAATGTATTAATTTTTACACTGCACATGTTACTGGTAGAATCTATTTACAACTATATAAGACTATAAGTTCACACACACATTGCCTATATTCATAAACATTAAACAACAATTCAATGTTTCTTCAGTAGACTATATACTTCACATACTCACTGTAATCCCCATAAACACTGTAATCCCCATAAACACTGTAATCCCCATAAACACTGTAATCCCCATAAACATGATATTAAATTATATACCAGTGTATCCATTAACGTAAATAGTTATTCCGCTAAAGATTTCTGATGCATTCCCTTCCTTAACAGCAGCAATAGCACACTCTTTCGACTCAAACTGTTCATTCAGCTTCTGCTTCTTTGCATTCATGTATCCACCCTATAAAAAAACATGCAATGCAAAATGTGAAATGTTGCCAACGTCTGGTGTGACCCAATCACAATCACATGCAGCCTGCTGTGCAAAATCCTGGCGAATTGAGATATTAACTTATATTATAGCTCATAGGGTCTATGTCCCCCAGGGTATACTATCGGAGGGGACCCTGCATGGGTACGGTTCGATATATCAGAACGTAGTACCCTGGTAACTATCTGATATGGTTAGGGTTAGGGTTAGGGAGTAGGCGTAGGAGACTCCCTAGACTCGTTAGTGGAGTAGGCGAGGTACGGTCCGGCATATTAGATAGTACCAGAGTACGTTCCGATATATCGAACCGTATCCAGGGTACCCTCCGATAGTACCCTGGGGGACATAGACCTTCTCAGCTATATTATAAGGGGTCTACACAGCCTCACATCTTCAACACATTGTCGGGTCTGGAATACAAAGTTGATACTCGTGACTACATGTAGTCTTCATCCCATGGATCCATATGTCCATGGTCCAGGATCCATGGTCCCATAGATCCACGTGCAGTGGCATAGCTTAATTTCTATCTGTTTACTCTAGAGGTTTTTCCACACTTCCTGTCAACTCACATAACGTTTCTCGGTCGAAATGAACAAACAACATCCTCAACAACGCCCCTCTCGATTTTAAAGGGGCTACTCCCACATTTACGAAAATGACATAGGTCTCAATCTCGCCATGCTCTCTAAGTTGAACCAATAAATCTCCGAAGTTGACTCACTCACTCACTTGACTCGTGACTCAGTCTGACTCTCAGTGACTGATCAGTGATCGCCCAATTCAAAATTCAATTCAATTCAATTCAATTCAAACACTTTATTTACACTTACACAAATTACATTTAGCAGAAACATAAAAATTAAAACTAAAACCGTAGTAAAACTTAAAAGACATAAGCATGAAACAAAATAAATTGATCGTGTATTAAAAGTAGGCCGTGGCTACGCGACTGGTTCCGGACGAGGAGCCGCTGGGCTACGCGTCCGGACATCCATCTCACACAGTGATCTTGCGGCATGCACACGCATGATTGCGCAACGGGACGCTCTGCTGATTGCCGAGTGTGTGTGTGTGTGTGTGTGTGTGTGTGTGTGCGTGTGTGCGTGTTTGTGTTTTGTGTGTTGTGTCGCTTCGCTGTGGCGTGTGCGTGTGTGTTGTGTGTGTGGTTGTGCCTGTGTGTGGGTGTGTGTTAAGAGTAAGAGAGATGAGAGCAAGAATGTGTGTGTGTGTGTGTGTTGTGTGTGGTCGTGTGTGGGTGTGTGTGTGGTGTGCGTTTGAGAGAGAGAGAGGGACGAGAGATTGAGAGAAGGATGAGAGAGAGGAGAGGGAATTCGTTTGTACTAATGTGTGTTTGTGGTACTGGCCACAAAGTAGATTGATGAAGACAGGAGCACGGGGAGGGAGAGGCTAGAGGTATGTGTGTGTGGTGAGCGGAGTTAAAAGAATAGAGAGGGCGTTATGCGTGATGGCGTGTAGTTGTGATGTATGAGTGTAGAGAGATGATGATGGATCCTGGGTGAACATCTTTAGTTGCTGTGATTGAGAGAGAGAGACGAGAGACGAAGGAGATGGGCGCAGAGAGGAGATGCAGAGAGAAGAAAGAGCTGTGCGTGTGTCGGTGTGTGTGTGAGGAGGATGATGCCCTGTAACGATGGGCCGTGGGTGAGAGAAAATTTGAAGAGTTGTGACGAATGTGTGATGAGAGAAAGGAGAATGAGAGAAAGAGAAGATTGTGCGCGATCAGCGTCTGCGCATGAGTGTTGTTTGGTGTGTTGGTATGTAGCAGATTGAGATGAGAGAGACTGAGATGAGAGAGAGATATGAGAGCGGAGAGCGAGAGCAGCGAGAGAGCGAGAGAGCCAGAGAGAGAAGTGTCAGAGAGAGAGAAGAGACGAGAATTAGAGAGGAGTAGCGCCACACATGGTAGGGAACACTTGTTGGCGTGTCGTTTGGGTTGTGTTGTAGTAATGTTGTGTGTTGAGGAGTAGTATGTAGTTCAGCGGCATGATGCGAAATCACTGTGTAATCAGGTGGATGTCCAGAGCGCAATGCTAGCCCTGTAGGCAAGGCGATCCAGGCGTCCGGACGGCGTAGCCCTCACTCATTCGCGATTAAAAGTATGCGGGACCAGTTACAGAGACGAAAC